GTCCATGGTGACACACTCCATCTTCCATACCCAGTTTGCTAAACCTCCACACTCTATCCTCATCATTTCAAACCCTTCATTGTTAGCTTTCATTCATTAGTTTACACACTAAACACCCTCATTCTTGATTCTTAGCTTTTCATTAGTTTACATACTAAACCTCATCCTTATTCATCATTGTTATGGAAGATTTCCCTTTTGAAAATTCAAATTTTCAGAAGTTAATAATTGCTTATGAGAAAGATAGCCAAGGAAAGGTGAGTTTTGCTATGTAAAAATTGTAATTTTTTTTTCTAACGTCTTTCGGAAAACCAGGGTCGAAATATATCAGTTTATTCGGTAGTCTACTACCGAAATAATTAGTTACTTTCGAAAGTTGTCTTCCGAACTAATGTCAAATTTTTGACATTCAACTTTCGAACCATTAAAAATAATTCAAACAACTACATTCGAACAGTAGCATTATTTTCGACATTGTACTTCCAAATGAAGTAAAAGTTTTTTTTTTCATTTTATATTCCAAATTCGTAAATTTCATACTAAATTTGCAGTTTCAAATAGTAAATTTGCCTTTATAATGCCATTTCAAATTTGTAATATTATACAAAACTTGCAAGAATATGTCTCAACTCAAGGAAGTGAGGTTTGCTCGGATAGTATGTTGGATTACACTACTCAATTCACAACTGACTAGGTTCACTCTACAAAATTATGATGATTGTGTTTTGAATTTCTCAAGAAATGTAAATGTTTGATAATATTTACTTGACTTTGTAGGCGTTCAAAAGTAAGGATGAATTGCTTAATTGGGTACGTGAAGTTGGAAAGAGAAATGGTCTGGTCATTGTAATCAAAACATCAGACTATAGTGGAAGAAAAAAAAGACCCAGGATGTATCTTGCTTGTAAGAGGAATGTGCAATATAGAGCAACAAAGAAGTTAAAACATGAGGGCAACAATGCATCAAGAATAACCGATACGAAGAAGTGTGGTTGTCCTTTTGATATAAGGGCTCACAGGTTGACCACAAATAATGAATAGAAATTGACCGTAGTATGCAGATTGCATAACCATCCACCTGTGAAGCACCTTAAGGGACATTCATATAAGGGGAGGCTGTCAGAAGATGAGAAATCATTATTGATAGATATGTCAAAGAGCATGGTTAGGCCAAAAGAGATCCTAGTAACCTTGAAAAAAGCGAGATGCCCTCAATGTAAGCTGTGACAACCCTCACCTCTGATTAGCGTTAAACTGTGATTGAGCATGATAAGTAATTGATAAGAATGAAATCCTAATCTGTTTGTAGGAGTATGTTGCTTTAGTTGCATTTCTATCTGTTTGTCATTGAATGATCTGTTCATGTTTTAAGTTTCGGATTGCGAATTGAAGGCCTTATCGATGACCGATTCAGAAATTGATTAGTATTATACGCTAATTAGAATTTATATGATTTTATGGTAGGTTTAATTAAAATTTGATTTGGAATGATTAATTAGATTAAATAATGTTAAATTACAATAGTTTGAATTAATTACATTTTTGCCATTGAGTGGCCATTTTCTACAACATTGTTTGGGACTTAGCTATTGTATTTTGATACATCATTTCATCCATCTTCTAGACCAAAACCGTGAGAGAGAGGGAGATAGGAGAAAATTGATTTCATCAAGAATTAGCTTGGAGAATTAGAGGAATTGAAGGAGAATTGCAAAATTAGGCTTCTACATTTGGAATTCAAGACCTAAGGTAGGGAATTCATCCTCTCAATTATGAATTTAAGTTGCTTCATGCATGACTCATGGAAAATTGGTGTTTAAAGTCAAGAATTAGCTCAAAATGTGGATGTGAGAGCGAATTCATGCATGCATGTACATATTCTTAAATTTTGAAGTTGTTTTCATGAGGATTTCCACATGCATGTTTATATTTTAGTAGAGGTCCATGAATTCATCATGTTTTAGAGCTCAATCTTGCATTTGGTTATGTTTTGGAGCATTAGAGTCCATGAGAACCCACGCATGTCATGTTCATGTTTTGTTCTTCAAGTTTCTTTGAAATTGGTGCTCAATTGGCTTGCTTTTGGGCTTTGATTTTGTAAAATGATCTTCAAAACACGTTGTATTATGAGTTTCCAAGTGTTTTCCAGAAAATTGGCCCAAAAGATTGAGTTTTGATAAGTTTAATTCTTAGTTTGAGCTTTGGAGGCAAATCTGGAAAACCCAGATTTTGGCTTCCTCTTTCGAGCGAAGGATTCCACGCTCGAGCGAGCACCTTTGCTTTCTGAATCCTGCTCGAGCGACGGAATGCTGGCTCGAGTTTAGATTGCAAGCTCTCAGGTTTTTGTGGACGCAGAAGCACGCTCGAGCGACAAGACCTGCGCTCGAGCGAAGGACTGTGTCTCTCGCTCGAGCGAGCATCGAGCGGAGATTTTCAACAACCAGTACTTTTTACAATTTTATAGACCGCTCGAGCGAGGAAGTCTACGCTCGAGCGACCCCTCTGTTTTGGTAAGCTCACTCGAGCGAAGGAAGCCACGCTCGAGCGAGACCCCTGTTTTCAGCAAATTTTGAAAAGTGTTTTAAAGTACATCTTTGTATCCTCATTCCATCCTAGGCATTCCTAGGCCATGTTTAAGGCATCTTAATAAGGATATTGATGTAGAACCACACCAAGTCAAGATAGGGGTTAAGTTATTAATCCCAAGTGTGTAACTTAGTGTGTGTTCGTTCTACTACTGTGTAGGGTTGGCACCCGAGGACGTTGACTAGCCTGTCTATAGCCTAGTACTCTGTGAGTAACGATGTTGTAAAGATATGTTCAATTATGATTATTTTCTGAATGATCGACTGTACTGCTTTCTGAAGTAACATTATTTACTAAATGAATGTTTGTCCTATTTTATGAACTGTATTCGTGGCATCCATAGCAACTTACAGTTACTGTTACTGTTACTGCTACTGTTACATAGATCTCTGTCAGTTCCAATGTTTGGAACTACTACTGTTTACTGTTTGATGGCCATCAACTGACTGTTTGGTCTATTAAGACCTATTGTACTATTTTGCTATTAGATGTACCACATATGACCACTATGGTTTCTAAATGATTGTATGGCATGTATTATGAGCCACTGATTGAACAACTGATCTATGGATCCAATCGACTGTTTTAATTACTGAAAGGACATTCATTCTTAACCCCTTTACGCATTTGTTATTCACTGGGCTTTAGCTCACTATTTATATTTATATGTAGGTGTCCAGGCACCAGACCGAAGCTAGGAGCGTCAAGCTAAGCTCTCATTTTGTCAAGCCAACCGTTGTGCCTCACTTCGAGGTTCCAAGTCTGTCCAAGCCAAGGCTGCTTTGGGGTGTTTTAGATTCACCCTTTTGTCTCCGTTATCTAAATGTTTTAGACTTCTGACTGTACAGTTATGGTGAATGGATTTGGTCCCTAACCTGGATGTTTGTGTATATATGTTTGGGTTATGAATGTGGCTTTTTCATAAAAGTCTTTTTGCATTCAGATCTTCACAGCTCATTAGACATCTTTCTATTACTGTTTGGCTTCTGCCAGCCCCTTACTCTGTATTACTGTCATTACTGTCATTACTGTTAAGTAGGCCTTTGGTAATCACGGATTACTGGCCAGTTGCGATGCTAAACCCATAGGGGCGGGTTTGGGTCGTGACATAAGCACACTTAAAACCATTTATAATGTACGCCATCGAAATAGGGTGGTAGAGAGAACTGGAAGATCATAGATGCAACGCTTATTGGATGAATTGGACAAGTAAAATTACATTGAGCGCCATTGATGTGAAGAGTCCACGATGATTGTGACAAACTTGTTTTGGGCACATCCTGCCAGTTTGGACTTATTTTAGTCTTTTCCCCGTATATTGATTATGGATTGCACATATAAAGCCAACATATATCGTCTTCCTCTTCTTGAAATTATGGGAGTGACATCAACTGAAATGACTTACTCGGTAGCTTTCGCATACTTACAATCTGAGAGGGCCAATAACTATGCATTGGTGTTAGCTACATTGCGTGATGTCATGGATGGTTTTGTTTTGCCGGTGATTATTGTCACTGACAGAGAGCTAGCCTTGATGAATGCCATACAGAAGCTATTCCCAAGTGCCAAACATTTATTATGTCGTTGGCATATCAATAAGAATGTATTGACCAAATACAAGAAACTGTTTGAGACAAAGCAGAAATGGGAGAAGTTCAACCATAAGTGGAACCCTTTAGTGTATTCATCTTCTGAAATTCAACACGATGAGCGCCTTCAATCATTACTTAAGGAATTCAGTAGTTATCCTGATGCAGTCAACTACGTCATGGATACTTGGTCGGTTCCTTATAAGGAGAAATTTGTGACAGCATGGATAGACACGTGTATGCATTGTGGCAATGTTACAACCAACCGGTAAGATTACTTTTGTTCAATAAGTTATTAATAAGTGCCATGTACTTGATTTTGATTTCACTTACATTGAATTTAACAATGCTAAGAGTGTACATGCAAAACTGAAAAGAGAACTGGGTTCATGTCAAGTCTCTTTTGAGGCATCATTTGAGAAAATACACAGTCTGCTTGAGTTGCAACACACTAACATCAAGGTTTCATTTGAGAAAAGTCTAACTGTTATGTAACATCAATTCAAGCCTTCTCAGTTCAGGGAGCTACGAGGTAACGTGTTTATTTATACATTAGAGTATTTGCTTGTAAAGAGTAAGAGAGCCAATTCCATTGGTCTTGATGTTGAAGCATGTGGATGCATCCTTCGCCACACTCTTAGTTTACCTTGTGCCCATGAGATTGCTGACTACATCTAAAAATATCATCCTATACCACTTGCTACCATACACTCACACTGGAGGCAACTTCATATCTCCATATGCAACAAAGAAGAGGAAACAAAGGTGACTTGTCATGCAGAAGTAGAGTTGTTTGTGAAAAAGTTCAATGAAAGTGATAGAACCATGCGGTTGGAGCTTTTGAAGAAGTTGAAAGAGATTGTATGTCCAGGAAGCACTTTCCTTGTTGAGCCAGAAGTGAAGCCCAATACACGTCAGTAAACCGTGTGCATTTGAGTTGGTGCAATCTGGACATGATTCCTTCTCACCTAGGGACACTTAAATCACTACATTAGCTTCTACTCAGGAAACCAAGAAGAAGCAACCCATTAAGGGAAAGGAGAAGGTGAATGTGAAGAGGAACGTGTATATTACTAGAACAGTAAAACCTGGTGCATATGTTGATGCTTTCCTTTCTGGGTTAAAACCATACATTAAGTTTGCCAAGGTTGTAGCTACAAATAGGAATTACGATTTTAGGGCTATAGCTGCTTCAATTGGTCATACAGAAGATGATTGGGCTCAAGTTAGGCGTGATCTTTTGGGTGAGTTGCACACCCACAAAGAGGAATACATTACACTTTATGGGTCCTACGAAAGGTTTGAAGAATTGACAAGCATATTGTCATACTTTCAAGACAGTCCTAGCTATTCACATTTGATGACTATGCCAGACATGGGGCATCTTGTTGCATCGTGCCATAATCTTGTGTTATACCATTTGTCATTAGAACAATGTCTCACCTTTTTACCTCCGAGAATAGTGCCAGTACCTCAACTTGATAGACGTAAGATTGTTATTGGATTTGTCAACGAAAATCATTTTGTGCAGGTATAAGAGAAACTTATCATTTCGTGCATGTATAGGAAGTTATAGGGTATGACCATTAACTGAAATGAATTTTGATACAGGTTTTTTTGCAGCCAGGCCATCCAGTTTCTCCTATAGCCACTAATTGGCGAAAATACCGTCACCCTTGCGCTGTCAACTGGGATGATGCATATGTGCACCGCATTCAGCATTTCAAGGACATCATTCATGATACTATAGCTACTTGAGAGACATTTGACATTGTTGATGTTGATCGACACATTTGACAATGTTAGAACTATGGAAGAAATTAATGGATGTGTTTTTTGATGTTGATGTGTTCTCTGGCATAGATTGAATGTTATCGACCATTGTTACCATTACATTCTAATAAGAAAATATCATTTACAATGTCATCGACCATTATTACCATTCCATTCTAATAAGAAAATATCTTTTACAATGTCATTAAAAGATGTCTACAGTAATGTCAGCTTACAAAAACACCACAAAAAATTCATCAACTGCCAACTAATAAGTCACGAATCATTTGTATGCCTACGACTAGGCCTACGATTGTATGTCAATGTTCGAGATGAAAAGCGACCTCCAGTAGAACTAGGTCCAGCAGAAGTAGGTCTAGCCGAAGTAGGTCCAGCTTCCTTAATGTGCTGACCTTCAATAGCCTAGTAAAGTCGATAAGGATGTCAAATCCTGTCCTCATAACCAGCCTGAATGACAGGATGTACAATCCTCAGTGCATGTGTAATACGTTGCATTTTAAAAGAATATCACATTTTAGGGTACATATCAGAAAAACATAAGTATGTTAAAAATGCATAAAAGAGAATAATATATTACATCGGCATGTTGGTTGAAATCCCGATGTTCATGCACACGTGGTTAATCAGCACGCTCAACATATAAGTGCGTGATATTCTTATACCAATCCATGTAACTCGGTACGCATTCCCAAGGCTGATGAACTAGTGTGCTCGTCCGCTGCTTAGATAACACGTGGTTATCCCAAGCCTCCCAGATCCTATCCAAGTATCTATACATGACTGTATATCGCGCAGATATGTTGCCTCAAGTACCACAAGTGTGAGCCAGCGGTGCATCTGGGATGGTTTGAACCCTGCCAAATTGCCTTAGAACTCTATCTGGATGATAGGTATCGACCACGCCTAAGTACTTCAAGCATCCATGGTAGAATGTAATTGGGTTACATGGATGCCGGTCTCTACAACTCTAGTATGGAACCCAAATAACCTGTAAACGTAAAGTGTTTTTGAATTAAAGTATATAAAGGGTAAAATAAATAGAAAGTGTTAAAATTATCTCATGACGAGTAAACTTACATCAGTCGCTACCAAACTGTCAAGCTCCGCTTGAAAAGATTTCAAATGATCAATGGAGGAGCTCGCCTCTCTCATAGATGTCCAATAGTACATGTGTGGCATGCCTTCATTGTAGCACATGTTCTGGTGAGGTCGGAATGCTTAGAGGTGCTCATAAATCCACTCCTTAAAAAAAGTCATATAACCGTCGATCTGCTTCACACCGGATTGGCTAGCATACTCCAACTGTCTGTATAAAAATGGTAATGCAGTAGCACTCCAAGCATAAGTATGAATAGATCCAAAATCCATCAATAATCCAAGGTAAACAACAAGAACCCTGGTACCACTCTTGTCACTAAAGAGCGTACATCCCAACAGAAACAACAAATAAGCTCTAGCAGCGTAATATATGGCTTCCTCTGGGTTTGAATCTGTGACCCCAGCAAACTGACTTCGCAATCACTCAAGCCTAACTGAATTCCCACCAGCAGTAGAAACCTCGTCATGTGCCACACGTTCAGTAATCCCCAAGCCAAAAACTAGTAGTGTAACTCCATGAAGATCCGTCATATTTGGAACACTGACTGATTTGTCTACAATGGGAAGGCTAAGAATAGTGCCAACATCATCCAAGGTCAAGGTCATCTCACCAATTTTCATATGAAATGTGTTCCTTTCCGATTGCCATCTCTCAACAAAACTGGAGATTAGAAGCTTGTTAACGAACCGATAAGTGCAATGAGCTAACTGTGACCGCCCAGACCACTCAATCATGGCTTTGAATCTGGTGTTGTTGTCTACTGACCACCTTGCCCATGTAAGGATCTTCAAAGAGTGATTATGACACTTTAAGGGCCCTTATTCCTATAAAAGAAATTAAAATCTCATTAGAAACTACCATATAACACCATTAAAAAATCATATCCAAATGATTTTAACTTCTACTTAGGAATGTTTACCTCCCTTTGCCAAACTGCTATAGTGACATGACTATTGAAAGTCCACAGTATTGATGGATTAGTCGGTCCACCTAGAAAAGCACGAGTAAGGTCCTCTTCCTAGACAATAGGAGAATTGGGTAAATGGGCATCCTCCATGGCAATGTCAAGCATATCACTTTCAACTCGTCTTTCGCTTCGACTACGACTTTGACTGTGACTAACACTAGGGATATCATATTCTATCGGAACTGGATAACAACCTCGACCACGACCCCAACCTCGACCTCAACCTCGTCCTCGTCCCCGTTCCCATTCATGGTCAACATCTACTTCAAGATGTCTTCTATTTGAAGCAGTAGGTGGGACACGTTGTGGACGTTCAGAATCCATATTATTTACAAAAATAATATATTTAATGAGCATACAATTGTAAAAAGAATATACAAAAGAGAAAAATATATATATATACCGTTCGGAAGTTGAAAATTGAAAAAATTTGTACTGTTTAGAAGTTGAAAATTGAAACAATAACTAACTTTCGGAAGTTGTATGTTGAATGAATAAAATAAATTCGGAAGTTAAATGTCAAACTAAATAAAAAAATTTGGACTTCTAATGTTGAATAACATGTTAATTTTTGGACTTCTACTTCCGAACAAATATGTTATTTTCGGAGAACCAATTCTGAATGAGGAACAAAGTGCTCAATCACGGTGGGCTATGTGTTCGTTTCGAAAATGGTAAAAACAAACCCTACATTACAAATGAAATATGAATGAAGATTAATATAAGTAAACTAACCTAAGTTCTCCAAATATGAAGATTTCCTTCAATGATTCACATCATTTTGTTCAATGCTCTTCAATGCCAATGCTTGACGTCTTCAATGGATGGATGAAGCTTTTGGGGGACGAACGGTAAAGTGTGAGAGATGGGTTTGTGTGTTCTTTGATAGGGTGTGTACATGAGGGTAGATGTGGAATAAAAGGTGTGTGGAGTGAGCAAAATAAATTGGGATTAATTTTTTAAGTATATGCATTGAAAAGAATGTGCACAAAGAGGAATGAATGTGTGTAAATAGAAACTGTATTTTCACGCGTAGACTTTTGAGTAAAAAGAATTCAAACTTAAATTCATGGCATGAGAGCCTAAACTAAAAAAATGTAGGGTGCCTCTATTTACACACCACCTTTCATCTTAAGGCACATCATTAATTAGTTTATTTTTTATTACAATATTAACCTAATGTAAAATGACCACACACCAATTACTCATTGCACACCACACCCAATTTTGATTTTTTATTTTTCGCTCAATACACATTATCAATTTTCAAATATTCCCAAAATATCCTCATATTCTTTAACCATAACCATAACCCTAACCCCAACTATACCCCGCAACCGCAGCTGCCGCCACTATCAACCGTTGCCGTCAGCCATCCTACCTCTTTCTGCCGCCGTTACCTTTTGACCGACACCATCTCCTTTTTTGTTTCTATCCCCAATCCATTTGCGTCCCTACCATGGCAGCAACTTGCACTACCATTTCTTTCACTGCTGACATTGCAACTCGTATCTCCCTCACATCCGTCACCCTTCTCCAGCCCTGTTGGCCACCTTCTATCGCTTCCCATCATCTAGATCCCCTCCACAGTGTGACTCAGTTCCTCCACTCCATCATTCGATCTGCAGTTGCGAGAGAGAGAAAGAGAGAGAGATTTGGGTTTCCAGATCTAGGGTTTGAAGAGAAGAAGAAAAAGAAGAATAAGAAAGGGCTATGGATGGAAATAGGAGGAGAGAGGAGCTGCAATGGGGGAGGGAATAGCAGTGGAGTGGGGATTTGCAAAGAAGAGGTGCTGACTGAAGGGGATTTGGAGGGACAACGTTGGCTTAGTAGCGGCGATAGTGAAGAGATGTTGGGGTTTAGGATTAAAGTTGGGATGGGGGAGATGAGGATGGCAGGGGGTGGCTTGCCGGAGCTAGGGATGGTGGAGGAGGTGCGGCTGAAGTTGGTAATGGCTGCGGCTGCGACGGCGACGGCGATGGGTAACGAGCAGACGGCGATGACGGCGATTAGGGTTAGGGCTAGTGGGGATGGGTTGTGTGAATTGAGAAATTTATGTGAAGGTTAAAAATGTAACTGACTAAAAGGATAAAGATGTAATAAATTTTTTTAAGGAAATGGAAGATTGAAGATTGTGGGTAGGGTGTGTGAGTAAGAGTAAAAATTGAAGATTGTGGTATGCATGAAGTAAATTTCTTATTTATTAAATTATTAAAAGTGTACCTTTGAGTAATGGCGAGCCTTAAAATGAAATGAAATGGGTAAATGGAGGCACCAAAAAATGTGAGAGAAAAAAGTGCGGATTGATTTTTTGGGTGAATAAAGTGCGGATTGATTTAAAGTGCGGATTGATTTAAAAAATTGAAGAATGCAAGGCTGTTTGGTGATAAGGATGCCAACTAGTTTATTATTGAATTTTAATTGGTGGGTTGCACCATATGATTGTTGTGACGTGGATTAGCCAATTTTTTCTCCTCAGATCCTACTCCTGTCTCGCTTCCTCTGGTTTTATCTATCTCTAAACCCTTTGAATCTCTATTTCGATCCAAGCCAGACTGGACACACAATTGAAGTGATTTACACTATGTTTGGGTTGAGTGATTTGGAGAGAAAAGAAAAGAAATGGAGTGATATGTATTTCTCTTATTTGTTTGGATAACCTAAGTAGAGAGAAATGAGAAGAAATGGAAAGAAATAGAGAGAAACTCATTTCTCTTATAAGCCTCATTTTCAATCTTCCCAAAAGTGGAGAGATTGGGAGAGAAAAGAAACCACTATTTTCATAATACCAATTTTGTCCCTTATAAAAAAAAAAGAAATAAAATGATTAAAAATATAAAAAGGTTATTTTAGTAATATAACATAAAATAATTTCTTTTCTTTTCTCTTAATGAAACA